CCTAGTCTTTTGAGGAATCTCCACACTGTTTTCCACAGTGGCTGCACCAAACTGCATTCCCACCAGCAGTGTAGGAGAGTTCCCCTCTCTCCACAGCCTCTCCAGCATTTGTCATTTGTGGATTTTTGAATGATGGCCATTCTGACTGGTGTGAGGTGATACCTCATTGTAGTTTTGATTTGCATTTCTCTGATAATTAGTGATATTGAGCATTTTTTCATGTGCTTTTTGATCATTTGTATGTCTTCCTTGGAGAATTGCTTGTGATGATGAGATTTTTGAATTGTTTATTATCAGAGTATGAGCTAGTGTATCTTGATATACACCTTACCTGCCTTCTTTGGCCACTGGCCTAATGCCTAATTAATGAAGGTAACTGTAATTGAGGGGAAAGTGTGTTATTTTTATAGTAGGAATCTTTTCTTCTTCTTCTTCTTCTTCTTTTTTTTTTTTGCAAGCATTGAAACTCATTTACTCATTCAAAAATATTTACTGAGTTGCCTACCAAGTGCCAAGTGCTGGAGATGTAACAGTACACAAAACAAACACAACTTTTGCCCTTAGGAGCTCATATTCTAGTGGAGAAGTCAGAGTAAAATTGAATCAACTAACAAAATACTTTCTAGTTAGGGTAAGTGTTACAAAGCAAATAAACAATGGCTGAGTTAGACAGGAACAAGGTGTGGAATCTACTTCAGAGGGCATGATGGGGAGGAGACTTTTTTTTTATCTCAGGTATGAAGAGAGGGGTAAAGTATTTCAGGTCATACGAGGAAAGAAAGATCTTAGTGAGTTAGAGAAACTGAAATATGACCAAGGTGACTAAGTGGTAATAAATGAGGAACAAGCGGCAAAATATAAAGTTGAAGAGATTATACAGAGATAGATCATGTTCCATAAGATAAGATTACCTTAATCTGCCCTTGATCAGTGCCACATGGTTAACCACATCTATGTTCGTTTCCTTCTTCCCTCTATCTGCCTCAACAAGTGACACATCCCTCATCTTTCTGACAGTTCATCCCTCCCCTTTTACCCTCCCTGCTCTGGGTACCCGTTCCTTTCCTCTTTCATGCAGTTGGCTCCTTTGGTTATTCTCAGCTCTTTAGAAATCTTCATTCTCTCCCCAAGGGATCAGTCTTCTGTCTTAAGAAATAAATCTGATACTGTACTTCCTGACAGCTTCTGACCTCTTTCTATTTCTTTGTGTTCCTTCATAGTCCCAGAGGCTTAAAATTAATTTGTATGCTGACAGTTGATTCCCAAACAACATCTCTTCTTGGAGCTCTAATCCCATATAGCCAACTGTCAATTTAACAACTCCACTTGTATGCTTGGGTATAAACACTTCCCATCCCCTGGTCCTATCAATGGATTATGCACCAGTTTTTTTTTTAAATATCAGTAAATGATTTCACTGACTGTTCAGATGTTCAGGCCCCAAATCCAAGAGGCTGGCTCACTACTGCTAATGTTAGCTTTCATGATTTCTTCCCTGGATTTATGAAATGGTCTCATGATCTGGCTCTCTGCTTCTAGCTTGCCTTTCTCTAATGCATTCTCTACACAGCAACCAGCATGGCTACTTTTATTTATTTTAACCTAGAATATTTTAACTAAAATACATTAAAATTTTTTTACAGCACCATGGCAAAATAAACTTCTATAACAAAAGAAGTATATATGCTATTAAAACTTACACAAAAAAGACAGATAAAAATAAAGAAAATAAAAGTATACATTTCCCACAAATGCCACATTAAAACTTCTCACAGCATCAGCATCTTTCTCCAATTGTACTGGCTTTCCCAAAACTATAGCAAGGACTTTTTCCTGTTTAATTGGTGTAGTTTCTTCTCAAGATGTCATTTAATGAGTAAACCTTTCTCTTGCAAGGCATTATAAAGAAGTACTTAAAAGTTTGGACCTTTGGAGTTAGTCTGAATTTAAAGACAAGCTCTGTAAACAACTATTGTGTAATCTTGGAAACTACTTTTAAAATGTGGTGTTCAGAACAGTAAAAGGACATTAAGAATTAAGGAAATTTGAATGAAGTATGGACTTCAGTTGAGAATAATGTATTGGTTCCTTAATTGTAACCATACTAATGCAATTTGTTAATTATAATATTAGTACTACTTTGGGGCTTAGGGTATATGAGAACTAATTGCAATTTTTGTATAAATGTAAAAGTGTTCAAAAAATCAAGTTTTTAAAAATATATATATATATTTCCACTTCTAAAGATTACAACTGATAGCACCTTATGGTGTAATCCTTCTGGACCTTTTTTCATAGTATGTAAAATACACATATGGGCACTTGGTAATCAAAATGAGATATGGTAATGTACATACTGTTTTGTAACTTGTTCTTTTGGGTTAATGATCTCCACTTTTCCATGGCAATACATTTTCATCTCATTACAGTTCATCTCTATTCAAATTTCTTCAGTTGTCCTGAAAATGCATTTTATAGATGGTCTGTTCAAATCAGGATTCAATCTAGACTCTACATCCCTCAAATTTAAGAGATGGAGCCAGTTATCCTGCAGAATGTTCCACCTTCGGGATTGGTTTGGTTACTTTTTGCGGTATCATTTAGATTGCTTTTCTCTTCCCTGTATTTCTCATAAAGTATGTGTTAGATGCAAAGAACTGACAAAGTAAAGGTAAACATTTTTGCCTGGAATATATCATAGGTGATCATACTGCAGACCTCACACTACATCCTATCAGACTGATATACAAGGTAGCCTTTTAAAAGTCTGAACTGTATCATGTCACTATTGCTTAAATGCCGTTTCTAACTTTCTTTCCATTTATTTTACAATACAAATTCTCTAACTTGGCCTACAAGTTTCTGAATGATTTGATGCCTGTTTATATAATAGAAAAGAACAAATCTGACTCCATTATTAGATCTGTTCCTTTGACTTTAACCCTCTGCTGTGTTCCCCTGTGTTGAGTCATGCTGATTCTGCACCTTTTGTGAAAGAATGTTGCCTATAGCCTAAAATACACAGGATAGCCCATTCTCAAGGTTTTGACCTTTAAGGGTGTGACACTTGCCCATTCATATAAAGATGTAAAATTGCAGGATAGAAAATAACATTTGTCTTATTCGAGGTTTGCAGGAACACCAGGACCTGACCCAACGTGGACAGCTGCAAGAACAAGGGATCCCAACACCAATGAGTTTGCAACAACCGACTTCTCCCCTTTTTAGTATAAAAGGAGTGTGAATTCTGACTTGGGGGAAGATGGTTCTCCAGGATGTTAGTCGGCCATCTGGGTTTGCCAGCTTTCTGAATAAAGTCGTTATTCCTTGCCCCAATACCTCATCTCCCAATTTATTGGCCTGTCATGGGACGAGCAGAACCAGTTTGAGCTTGGTAACATTTACTCTTTCAACTTTACCTCATCCCATTCTCTTTGCTTTTTAAGTTTTTGTCACACTGTTTCCCCTCCCTGAAGGTGAGCAGTGCTTGCCTCCTAGGGCCTTTGCCCCGTGGTCTATAAGGCTCTCCCGTGCCACTGCTACCCCTGCCCCTCTTTCTTTCTCCTAATGTCAAGCATCTTCTCAAACTGCAGGTCTTTTAAAGCTCAGCTTCTCAAAGACGCTTCCTCTAACTACCTATTTATTTTTATTGCTTAAAGTTCTTCCAAGGGAGCCTAATATCCTGCATACCATACTCTTTTGGCGCACCTTACCCTCTGCGTCCTTACCTGACTAAGCTGCACACTGGCTGGGGCCTTGCCTACCACGCTCACCGTGCACTCCTATCAGTACACCGCGGCCGGGTGAACGAATTACCACAGATCACAATAACCCTGAGGTCGTCGCAAATTCGCGCAGGTGGCAGTAACAAGAGTACTTCCGCGGGGAAATAGTTCGAGTGGAGAAATAGTTACTTTTACACAAAATAGTTTACTTTTACACTTTTACAAAAGCGCTCTGCCCACCCACCGAAGTATAGGGAGGAAGGAGAGAATACAGTCTGCGGAGAAAAGATTCACGCCTGAGCCGAGGCGGGCCCAGGTGAACTGCGCCGGCGTCCGGACGCTCTCACGTGACCGCGGGCGGCGCGCCGAGTGCGCCTGCGCGGGAGCTCCCGGAAGCGGCCGGATCCCAACCGCAGGCCGAGCGCACGTCCGTCAGCCCGTCAGTCCGCTCGTCCGCCGGCTCCGTTCCCCGCGCGCCTTGGCCCTCGTCGCCGTCTCGTGGTCTCTTTGGCCCGCAGGGCGGCTGAGGCGCTCGCCATGGCGACGTTCATCTCAGTACAGCTGAAAAAGACCTCGGAGGTGGACCTGGCCAAGCCGCTGGTGAAGTTCATCCAGCAGACCTATCCGAGCGGCGGGGAGGAGCAGGCCCAGTACTGCCGCGCGGCCGAGGAGCTCAGCAAGCTGCGCCGCGCGGCGCTTGGCCGCCCGCTGGACAAGCATGAGGGCGCGCTCGAGACGCTCCTGAGGTTGGTCCGGGGCCGGGCCGGGGAGGTTGTGGGCCGCCGGCTGTTCCCCTTGCTTCCTCCGCCCTTCCTGGCTGCCTCCTTCCTACCCACGGCCCAGGCCCGGCCGCCCCGCCCAGGCTTGGCCGGGCGCGTAGGTGTGGTTTGCATTCCTTCCTAACGAGCAGGAGCCGCCCCGCAGGCCGCCGGTCACCCTACCCGCTTCCGCTGGCTGCCCACCCTAGCCTTTGGTCCGCCCGGCCTAGGCCAACCTGGGAGGGAGGGTCTGCCACGTACTGAGGTCTCTTGCCACGTTTACCCAGAACTACTTTTCTTCACTTTTTGGGGGTCTCTGAGACTCCTGTCTCTTCCCGTTTTTGCATCGCCGCGAAACTTTGTTGGTCAGATTTGGATTTCATAATAACAGTTGCTTGAGGAAGGTGGCAGAATTGGGACACTGGAACAAATTTTTTTACTTATTTTACTTTTATTACTTTACTTGTTTTTGCTGTCCACTTGAAACGAGTCATTTTCCTAAGTTCCTCGTAATCAAGTGACACGTAGAATTCCGTAGGTTAGGAGCTGCCATTATTTGAAATTAAACTTGAGTGACAGAATGTTCATGATAGGTTGCTTGGAATCAGTTTGTTCACAAACAGGTGTGCACATCATGGAGTAAATTTGTGTTCTTAGCCCATGTTTATTGAGTTAATGCTGTATTTAACTAGAGTTCCTTTGGTAGTAGTTTTCCAGTTAGAATGGCAGAACATTTTTATAAGCATTTTATAGTTAAAAATTTTTTTTCGTCTACCTTGTTAATGAACTCATTTCCTACGTGTAGCATATTCTCCTTGTTTCACAGGAAAAACACAGCTGTATTAAGATCCAAGTAGGAGAAGCTCAGGTTAAACTAGCTTGCTTGTTCTAGTAACTGAAAAGTCAAGGAATATGGCTTCCTTAGCTTTAGGCATTTCTGGAGATCATCTTGCCTTCAGGTTGATTCCTTCTTAGGAGAGCTTTGTTTCTGTATTGGAAGAGATGGCTACCCGCTCTCCTGTAATTATAGTGGTCTTAATGCTCAGGATCTTATGTAAGAGTGTGTTTCTTTTTTGCTCTGGTGAAAGTTCAGGGAAGGCCTCTGATTGGGTTGGCTTGTGCCCATGTATAATGATGGGAAATGGCCTAATTTAATTACCCTTGTCTGAGTCACTCTGCTGGTTTAACTTCTCCATGCGCAGTGGATTAAAGTAATGTTAGTATGGACTAGGGAAGAGCTGGTTCTCCAGGATACTGAATAGATCCCTCAGAGAGATTATGACCCATTGGTGTCAATTTTAAAGATAAGATTGTTGGGTTGCAAAGATCACTAGGTTGATACTTAGTGTAAACATTTTTTTTAAGCTAACCTATAAGTATTTAGCCATTCTTTAGAATTAATGTTCTGTAAAAGAAAAAAAAAACTCCCAAGCAGTTCTTATGTGGCCATGAGTAGCATTCAGTGAGGATTTTTCATTAGTAGTGTTAAAAAAAACATGAGCTCTGGTATAATGAACACATGAATCGATTAGGTTTGATCCCAACCCTTAAGGAGCTTGAGTCAGGAGGAGGAGTTCAGAGACATTTGGTGCATGGATTTAAGACTTACAGACAAGAGAGACTGGTGAATAGTGGTTCTGTGAAGTTTAAAACTTCATTCATTTGTTCATTCTTTTGGTCTTTTCCTAGGAATAAATGGGGATATTGCAGAGACAGTCTCTTTAACTGTTTCTTTAGTCACCTCTATATTGTCCTCACGTTAGCACATTTTTTCACTTTATGCTCTTCTAGTGGAGTTAGGGTAAGCTAATGGATACACTACAGTCTGTAAAATTTTATAATGGAGGTGTGTACCTTTGCTGTAAAAATCAAACAGTTGGGGGGTGTTCAGTCAAGCAGGATATTTTACTTTTAATAATTGTGTCTGGATAATTGTGTAAATTGAACATATTTTTAAATTAATAAACTTAAATAAAATTTTTGAAAAAGAGAGTTTAAGCTAATTCCTGAAGAATAGAGGCTAGCTTGATAAGTACTGCTACACAGCTCCACATATGGTCGGGTAGTGGACTTGCCTTTTTATTGTTACTAACTATAGTATTAAAACTGTATTTATGTATTATAATATTGAGTGAATGTTATCCTTTATCAAGTGACTTTAACTACAAATTGATTAGAAGAGCCTTGGTAAATAGTGAGCATTAAACTAAGGTATGATCAGATGGAAACCCCGCTGGTTCTTAGGGGGCGGGGATAAGCTCTAGATAACAGCTTCCGTGTCTTTTGTGGTGATTAGTGTTTTCAGAGAGAAAGCTCCTAGTCTCCTTCCATGATAAAGCCTAGTTGTCATCTTTCTGAAATTTGATCAGAGGGAGTGGAGGTTGTCGATTTCAGCGATCATGTATGCATTTTTTTATATTATCTATTTTAGTTTTATGTCATCTATGTTACTGTATTAGGGTTGGATTCAGCTGTGTATGGTAGATCTCAAATTATCAGTTAAATTAATGATTTTACTCCTGTGTAAAAAGTTGGTAGATGGGTAGTTCTGATGGCCCAGGAATGGTATCGTGGTTCTGTGAAGTTCATCAGGCTCAGGCTCCTTCCAGTGATCTGCTCTGTAAAACCTAGAGTCCTTGTTCTCAGGGTCCAGATAACAGTCATACCCAAGTTTTAGACAGAAAGATGGAGGAAGGGAAAAAGGAGGCAGGGTACTTAGCCTCCAGGATGTTTCCTGGAAACTGCCCTGCAGCACCCTGCTCATTTGTTATTGGCCATTATGTATGTCCGCATCTCACAGAACAGTAGGATAGGTAAAGGGATTTTTATTAAGGGCAGTCATATACTCAGCTAAAATATCCTGTTCTACTAGGAAGGAAGGAGATAATGATGTAGGTGATTAGCATTCCCAATAATAGGCTCCCAGTCCCCTTCTTCCCTGCTGAGCTGTGTGTGATATTGCTGACATTTTCCTGAGAGTAAACCTGCCCTCCTCATGGAGGATATGGGAGCCCAGAGGTTTCTTTCAAAGATTTTCAACCATACCTCTTTCCCAGACTCACACTTAATTCTTGTCTTCGAGAGTGATGCCTCTTTTCTTCAGAATTCAGATCCTATCCGGCTTCTCTGCATCGTTTGGCTCCCTTCTCTCTAGGCAGTTAGAGTTTGTTTTCTCTGCTTCATTCGTTCACTTTTCACCTTTTAGAAAATTCCAGTGAAACTTCTTGTGTGCTCTTGTGTTCTTTCCCGTTCTCTTTGTCCTTGTGCATTTACGTCTTTTTAATTTTTTATTCCCTTTTTAGTGGAATTTTGGGGGAGAGTAGAGTAGGTTGTTTATTCAGATCTCTTTGTTTAGCTAGAATAGGATATTTACATTTTCATTTCTATAGTGGTTGTTTACAGGTAATAGTGAAGTTTTTTTTCCTTCACATCCTTGGGAATACTCACTGATTAATAATTGAAAGTGATTGCTTTTTGCTAAACTGATGGGTGAGAGATGGTACCCGGTTTTAGTTTACATTGCCTTGATTTCTCAGAGGTCAAGCATCTTTGGTTTACTGGCCACTTAGTTTCTTTTTCTGTGAATTGCCTGTTCTTTTTCTTTGCCCGTTTTCTATGTTGATTGTTTTTTTTCTTTACTGATTTTTAAGAGTTATGTATATTTTCTGGCTATTTATCTTTTTTCCATTATGTGTATTGCATATATCATCTTCAAATCTGTTTCTTGTCTTATCATTATGGATGTGGTATCTTTTGTCACACAGAGGTCCTTGCAAAATGTTTTATTCTCCTCATAATCTGTAGTTACAGTTTTTTCCTTATTCCCGACTTGGTGCATGTATTATGTATGATTTTGTCCCCTGATAGATTTGCTAAAAGCCACCTTTTTCCTTTTTTAAAACCAAATCTATTTTTTGTTTGTTTGTTTGTTTTCTGCTTTCTCATTCACTTTTCTTTTTCAATTGAGTGATTAGCTTTGCATTTTTTTTAAAATACATTCATTTTAGGACTGTATGTTTTTTCTAAGTCTGCTTTTGGTTGCATCCCACTAGTTTTGATATGTAGTATTCTCACTGACATTTTTTAATAGTTTGTAATTTTAGTATTGTTTTAACTCAAAGAGTTTTTAATGTAGATTTTGTAAAGTTTCTAAATAGATTTGTCTATCACTTTTTGGGGTGTTAGTATCTAGTTTGTTGCATTATGGTTGTACCTTTTTCATTTATGAAATTAAGTTGATGGGACTAGTCTCAATTTCTGAATTTTTTTCCAAGTAAGCTTTTGCTTACGTTCTGATTGTTGAAGATACTGAGATAATATTAACCCTAGTGACGTTGCTGCTGTTAATCAAATAGTGTGGTGAATATAAAGATACATTAATACTTGACCCTTGGTCTCAAAGAGTGTCTGTAGTTAGCAGACCTTAATTTGGCTCAGGAATTTTGTTCTGCTTAGGTGAATAAACATGAAAATTTAAAGGAAGATTTAAAATCCTTGCTTTTCTGTATTCTGACTTTTCTAAGGTTTAATAAATAAAATAGCTTATCAGGGCTATCTTCATTCTTTGTAACCCGAGAGAGAATCATCTCTCAGAAAATTCTGCACACGGGTTTAAGCTACACAGCTGATTAACTTTGTGGCAGGATTAGACTAAGATCTTGACCTCTTGCCTCCCTAACTATTTACTTTCTACTACACTCTGCTTTAGCAGTGCTTTATTAATGATTCTTCATGCGATAAACTGAGCAAAGAAGGAAGTGTGAAAATAAGGTTCAGGGAACAGCTATTAACTCTGACCATTATCTGGCCCCACTCTTTGGATTCTCTTGTTTCTGTCTCAGGTTGGTAGGCAGGATTGCTCAGCCCTAAATACTGAATGGAGCTGGATGGGTTATGTGAATTTGCATGGCAGTTTCACTTTGTCTTAAGTGGATTGGTTGTTCTCATCTCTACACCTTTCTCCCTAAAAACACATTTTTTAAAAACTA